TTTCCTGTTTTTTCATGTAGGCAATAATATATTTTTTAGATTTCAGCATCATCATAGAATAAAGGAACATTTAAATCGCTTTATCACCATCCATGAAGTTTTATCTACAAATATTTTCTGTAAGGGAGGTCCATCGATTAGGAAACTGAAATACAGTTGTCATAAAACCAAGCATTTAAAATGGGCTTGGACTCCTGTATTCACTTCATGTTCAATGCTTCAAGGTAAGCTTTGTGCAACCTATGTTACTTGGACAAAAAACATCTCCATATTTATTTCCTGTGTTATCATTTTTGCTTCTTTGAAATAATAGAAGATGGAAGGAATCCAAAAATAGGACACTGATGAAAAAGATAATGACCGAGAGGTGCCACACAATCAGTTAACAAATGCTACTATCCACGAATGAGTCAGAGGGCACAGCCTTTTGAAGGGCTCCACAGAATCAACTATTTACATCACCTAACAAACAACAAAAAAGACCCCCAAAAAACCCCATTTGCTTGGCACTTTCAAATTCATCTGTTTTTCCATTTTTTTCTGCTCTCCTGACTCAGAGTGTCTTCCAATTAATATTTACCAAATGGTTTCTCCCTTCTTCATTTAAATCCGTTCAAAAACTGCACCTGTTTCATGAGACCTATGTGTGCTTCTGGCAGCTGATATTTGAGGAAAAACAAAGAGAACTTAAAAATCCTAACTAACTACATTAAAATGTAATCAAGAAAGAGAGAGCTAAGATTAGCTCTGCCAATACAAGACACCAGCAAGGCACGTGGGGGTTCCCCAGGGACATAGGTGGATAAATGTGTGGTGCACAGCCTGGGAAGGACCCCACATGTCTCATGTCATCAAATGTGCCTGAAATTCAGCAACAGCAAACAGCAGTTACTGAGTGCCCTGGAGACACCATGCTTGCCTCATTCCTCTAGAAAATAAGGCAAAAAACCTATTGCAATAGTGCCACAAAACAACAAAATCAAGCTACAGTACTCAAAACCAGAGCTCATTTTAAACAATAACATGTGGGAAGAGATTTGAAAACAAAAAGCAGCCACTGTGCACGACAGCCAGAGGATGCTATCAAAGCCAAGACACAGACAGCTAAAGTCATTTGCCAATGTACAGATTCACTCCAAGCTTCACTTAAAGCCATCGCTGCTTCTACAGAGTACAGGGAAGGAACCAGATTTGCCCTAAAAGGCTGTACAGGATTCTTTTACATATACTTTTGCTAATACATAGCAAAGTACTTTATACAGCACTTTTGTTGCTTCTATTTAGCAGTTCTCCCACATTATCTAGATGAGAGACAATTGCACAATGGCAGGTAAATCTTGTTAGAAAGCATCCTAAATGAGAGGGAAGATCTTGCCTCTAAAATACACAGAAAAGATGACAGGTCTATGGTGTATGCTGAGGTATTTGCCTGGGATTCTTTAAAGATAATTTGGTGAGGAAGAGACTTGCAGCTTTTTGAAGCAGTTTCCTTCAGTACTGCCAAATTTCAAATTACTTTTCTTTTCCTGGCAGCTGTTAAGGAACTTGTGTTACTGGAGCAGATGATCAGCCATTGGAGTGTCTTCTATGGCAGTCAGCAGAGTCCCATGCCCACAGGAGTTTGGGGGATGTGTCCAGCTGCTGGTCCAAAAGCAGGGATTGTGACATGACCCTTAATGTTAGAGGTTCATGCACATTTCTGCATTATTGCAGAGATCCCTCCATTCCAGAGTACCCTTAACAGGGTCTAGGTCACTTCTGTACCACAGCTCATACAAATTAGCTTCCTGCATATTTCTGTCAAGCTAATGGACAAAATTCAAAGAATGCACAACCTTGAAGGCATTTTAATGTGTTATTTTCAACTGCCTTGTATAATTTTTTTAAAGCAACATCTTATATCCTTGAGTCATATTTGTTAATTCCCTATTAAAATGCACCCCCTTTCTCACTAATAGAGTGTTTTAAATTATGCTCACACATTTTTAAATTCCTACTCACTATTAATCAAAACCATAATTCCCATAAACTTAAGCACAGGTTGCATTCCAGATGCAGACAGTTCACATATTCTATGTTTTACACGTATTTAAAAGAATGCAAGTTCAGCAATATTTAATCAGTCTAAGATTAAAGTTTATTTACACTGACTTGAGCTACTTTTGAAAGTGAAAGACCCAACAGTTATCTCGGTGGTGACTAGTTCAGTCTTTTTGCAGCCTCAGATATGCTACTGACATCCACGTGCCCAAATGTAAAGGAATGCCAGCAATTTCAAATGAAATCTGTTTTGTTAGTTAGATGTTACTACCAGTGTTAATGCAGCTCTTCAATGCCTGATCTCATTTTGAAAAATCTTACTATCTCCTTTTTATTTTCAAAATGCTTCTTATTCCCCTGTTGCTGAGAAAACCTGGCTGTGTTTATAAACTCTCTTATTAAATGTTTTCAAAGCTAAGCAAGGTAGCAAAAAGAAAATTCTTCCTCCTACCTTTCATCTGTACTTGTCTTTGAAATTATGTAAATATATTGGCTGTACATTTGGGCATTTTTGATAAAGAATATTTAGACAATAACATGAATAAAGTGGGGTTTTTTTCAATCTTTAAAACACTGCTCTCATAAATATCTGTAAAAACAGTCTCATTTAAGTCCTGGAAATATGCTGCAGTACAACCTACCTGAATAACACTTTTAGGGAAATAAGATGAGGTTCTGGATTTCCAGCTGCAATAACGCAGAAAACTTCATAATCATAATCCAAAGAATCCTTACTAGTTCTTGAAGGTTTTTTTAATACTTTTTTCAGAGGTTGACAGAGTAGTAGTTAGATGCATAAATAAGATATTTTTATTACAATCTAACAAAATCAAGACTGTAATCATGATTCATTTTTTTTTAATAACCTTAGTTCTTCAAGACTCCAGTCCTAATGGGGCAATCATGCATCACTGTTGTGTTCCAGCAGAACTATTAGGCTCTGTGCTGTGCTAGTGTAATTGCAGTCTAATGGTTTACACTATCATAATGGTACTAAATATTTTACTAAACAAAGTACAATATCTAAAAATTATTTAAATTGTTCCAGCTTTAATACCGTACATCAAAGAAAGAACTTTTCCTTTCTTTCTGAATTGAGAGTAACAAAGATGTCAAAATTAGTTTCTTGTTTCTCCTAATAAAGTGGTTAAAACATAATATTAGAAGCAGGGTTTAAAAATTACAGGGAAAAATTACTTAGTGAAAAATGAAAAGTATTAAAATATTTTGAGGCATTTTGATGCTCTGCTTCAGCAGGCTGGCACAGCTTAAACTGTCAGATTACAAAGGATATAGGAATACTCTATTCAGAATCTAACTTGGATTTTTAAATCAGAATTTCTGGTTATTTACTTAACAAAATTTTAATAACAATCCCAGTCTGTGCAAGTGTAGCAAATCACAAGCTATCTAAGCACGAGATAACATCATTGTGGTGCAGTTGTGGTCAGTACCAGCAGCAGAGCAGCTGAGCCGGCAGCAAACCCAGCAGAGCCTCCCTCCCCAGAGCTGTGCCTGGCAGGAGCAGGGTGACCTGACTGCACCTCAGCACATTCTGACTCACAAATAACTCCATGCACTAAATGACACTAATTCTGTAAGCAGGGACAATCAGTACAGGTAAGGATTTAGTAAATCCTGCCATTAACACACCAGAGTAGCTCCAGCTGCACCCTGCAACAGCTGCTGCCTTACTCCTTGGACAAAGCCAAAAATATCTGTAACTCCAAAAGGGGCACTGAAATTAGTACTAAAAGTGCTCAAAGCTTATAGGATTGCCTTCAGAACTCCTGAAATTGATTTTTAAAAATCTACTTTGCCTAAAACAAATTTATACTTAATTCCATTCACTATTTTTATTAAAAAAACCTTATTTTTTTTACTTCTAGCTTAATGTTTTTCAAAGACAGTTTTCTTGGAAAATAAATTTTCCTTTTTCCCAAAAATCAGGACTTTTTTCAGAAAAGGTTTTTGAATTTGGACTAGGACACAAGGGGTTTTTTCCCAAAATTTTGTTTACTACTAGTATTTTCTACAACAGTGATCTGCTTAAAAAAAAAAAAAAAAGGAGCAAAAACATGTTTTTGCTATCTAGAGAACATTTTGTACAGCTCATAACTCCTTGATTTAGGAACTGCCAAGATCTAGATCACTTTGTACCTGGAAAATAAATTAGTTTTTAAAAAACAGAATAAAATAAAATTTTCTTCTACTTGGCACAGGAACTTTTTTAAAAACAGGAAATACAATCAATTCAGTAATTTGGTAGTAAATAATCTTTGAGCTTGCACCAAGGTACTAATAACAAGTACTAATTATTGCCCATCCTGTGAGAATCTGTAGCTTTCTACTATTGATGACACATTCTCTTTCTAGCCATGCTCTGCTCTAAGTGAAGAAACACCTCACCAGTAAACACTCTTAAAGGACTCAATATGTGCACTATGCTAAAAAAAAAAAAAAACAAACCCAACAAAAACCAAAAACCAAAAAATAACCCCAGCATTTGTTAAAGAAAAATGCTACTTAAACCAAACTTCTCCAGTAAAATTTTATATTTTGCCAAAAAGCATTGAAAATGCACTTTGGGCTTTTATTTCTCATTTAAATTATGAAATATTTATTTTTTAAAATACAGATACAAAAAAAAAAAAACCCAGGGTAGAAAATCTGTCTTCTAAAGATCTCTCGGATTTATTGATACAGTATACAGACCTAACTTACTACTCTTAGATAATTACCTAACACAATATTCTACTTACAAGGAGAGGTTTAATTTTAATTTATAGTTTAATTTTCCTACTTAAAGTAAGCCAGTCACCTGTGTCACTTTGTGGCTCATAACTGTAATCCTCATTTAATTATTTACTTCAAGGGAGCATTTTAATTATAGACATTATTATGTGTGTAAAGCAACTTACACTGGAAGGCAGTGAAAATTTATACAGTGGAGTGCTCACCTGAATTTCCACTGGCCACAGCTCCACATGCAGTGGCTCAGCTGCAGAGCTGACTTAGGCTGCTGAGAGATGCTCTTCACTTTGCTGGCCACATTTGGGGTGCCTGAAAACAGGCAGGAGCACCAGGGCACAGAGAGCTTGGATTACAACTGCAAGGCTCCCAGCTGAAATATAAATGAGATAATAATAACTTGTCACATCTACATTTGACCCTGCAAATAACCTTTGGACGTGGGAGTGAGCACACAGCATTGGCTCCGGGGTGAGGCCACCACTGTGCTCCACTTCTGTGCTGATCAGTAATGGAGTGACAGAGCATGAGCTTTCCTCTGATTTATTTCCTGAAATCTGAGCAACCAGTGATTTATGGGTTTCCTAAGATAGGGGCTGCCTATCAGCTTTTTTTTTAATAGCCATCACTTGACCAATATTCTATGAAACTATCTAGTATCTATGCAAACTAGGCATATTTTTAGCTTTCAAAATATTACATTGCAACAAGCTCCATCATTTAAAAATTGAAAAAAAAATATAAAAGGTAAAAGAAAAAATCATTGCTTTGTGTTTGCTTCAAATTTGCCAAATTTGTGGGTTTGTGTGCTATTGCTGGGTCATCTTTACAGTAATTTTAACTTCCAAGGCAGACATTTCATCATCACACGAGTGGCACTATGCAACTTCCCTGCTCTGGACCAAGCAATATTTTTCATTGCCTGAAGTCCCAATAGGCAACTTTAAAAAAAAAACTGAAAATACTTTAATTTTTAACATATTTGGCACAATAGGATGCATTTCTCTGCAGGTACATCCAACCAGAAGGGATGGTAAAGGATGCCTTGTCCCCAGGCTTGCCAGCAGGTGATTAGGGCTATCTGCCTGGGGCAGACGGGGACAAGGGGCTGCCCAGCCTCCTGTTCTACATACTGCAAATATGTGGCAGAGTGAAAGAGCCCAGGTCCTGCAGAAGTCCCTTTTTTACCATTAAAACACTTCCAGGATTTGTGGTGTCCCTGATTTACTCCTGACTCACACGTCTTGCTTAATGCCCAGGCAGTCCCATGGGCAGCCAGGGGTGTTTCCAGCTGGGATCCTTCCCTCTTAGAGAAGCTCCTTCTGCAAACTCCCTCCGACAGAGGAGGAGACACCAAAGCACTGTCTCCCTACCAGGAGACAAGAGTGCTGCCAGGATTTCTGAGGGTTACAGGTCTCCAGCACATCCAGCAGTGCAGACAGGAGACAGTGGGCACATGGGAACTGCAGGCCACCTGTGTCTGAGGTAAGTGACTCTCACTTCATTATTAACAACCTCCATATCTTCATAAGATGCTTATCTTTTTCAATAAACAGAGTTACTGAAGATTTTGTCTGATGCTTTTCTGTTTTTTTTAATATTGGGATGAACCCAAAGATTCCTTTCTTTAGTATCTACCTTTCTTCAGTGATGAATGTTTTTTCATGAGCAGTGTCATTACATACAATTTTTATCATCTAGATTGTTCTATTTTATTCAGCAACCTAGAAAAAATTTCCTCTTTCTCTTTCTAAAGAAGTAACCTTCAACCTGCAATTTGTCTGCTGCTTCTTACAGTATCCTCAGCACAGCCATGGCCCCTAACAACTGAGGGCATTCAGCACCTTCCAGCACGGAGTATATCACATTTCCCATCTGAAATTGCTTACCTCATCAGTCACTAAGGGCCCGGTTTGGAAGTCATTAAAAATAATGAGAATGCTGGCACTTCTCCCAGCAATAATGGCATTGGGTTCTGTGTTGCTTTTATACTTTAAGACATTTGTATACATCCACAAATCACTTAACTCTTATCTTTGTACTAGCTTAATGAAACTAATGGCTGCTGAAACTATGTGGGTTTTATTCTACTTTTTATTTAAATAAGCTTCTGCCCACTCCATCATAAAACAACACAAACACTTACACAGCATATTGCATCACAAAAGCCCCAAAGTGTTTACCAGGACCATCACTAAAATGCAAGCACTTCTCAGTCAATAAACACTTCAGCTGACAATACAGCCACAAGAGAGTTTTCAGAAGGAAAGCTGAAGAGCAGCAAATCAAATTTTCCCAAAATAAATTTAGAACCAGAGTCTTGCATTTTCATTTCCATCTGGATCTACTATAGCCTTTCCATCCTATGACCATGCAAAAAAACCCCAACTCCTTATTAACTCACTGAGTAGCAATATCACTCCTGCAGGGTCCGTATCCTACAAACTTCGACAGGATAACGAGCCTCAGGAACACGCTCCGGGCCAGCACTAAATGCCCCCTTAGAATTTCAACTAATCATTGGAAAACACATATTAATGCATATTAAAACTGTGAAATATTCACCCTTAATACTCAAGGTCTAGCTTAGGGCCAATATAAAATTTCTCACCACTACACCTTCCCCGATAGGAACATGCACAATTTACATGGTTTGAAATAAATAAGAATAATACAAATATGGAAAAAAAATCTCACCTTCTTTAGATGTGTGTTTATCTGCCCCAGGCATACATTTGAACTGTACATTAAAAAAAACCTGTCATGAGAACAAATGCTAAAGTTACAAATCCAGCATTTCTGCATAGGAAGTGTGATATTTCAAACTCACAGAAATTAATGACAGTTTCTAGAATGACTCATACATTTTGACATCACCTGCTCACAGAGAAGGTATCTCTAAGATGCAAAGGACTTGAACTCCAGTCACCCTAGAAGTCCATCCACAGTGTGAAAAATTCAAAGATCCTGGACTGCTGCTGAAAGCTCTATCTTGTCAAAAATCAGTAGTTTCGTATGGCTAAATGGACTGATTTACCTACATGGGAGCATAAAGAAAAGGTAGATGTAAGTCAAATAGTAATATTTCTAAACAATAATAAACCTACAAGTACCAGGTGCAATAAAAAAGTTCCCCAAATGCTTCATAAGGTAAAGTTTAAAGGTGTTTTGATGTTATTATCAGTATATGTGAATATCTGAAAAACATTACCACTGCATAGAAGTTAATCTAAAGGCCCATTTTGTAAGGTTATTTTAAAAATATTTTTAAGGCTGTTAAATGTTTAATACATTTGCAAAGTATTTTCTTTGCATTTATTTTTAAGTGCTGGATAAAGTCTGCTTTTAAAACACATATTGCTTAATGCACCTTTTAGGTGGTGTAGCACCTTTAATTTCAAAATATTTTAAGCCATGTTACAAATACCTTACCAAGGTACAAAAAAAAAAGAAATCACCCAGCCATCCTTAGCAGTAACTAGAATATCATTCATTTGATTTCTTTTATCTATTAGATCAAGGAATGAAATGACAGCAAACTAGTTCTATGATTATCAATCTAGTTTGAAATTATCTACCGCATATAACCCACAGAACTACTAGTACAAGCTGCACAATTTAAGCAATAGGTGCGAATGCTCAGGCATCATGAGTGATCCCACCATTTAAAGAGATGAAAACATCCTTATGCAGCACAAATAAGTGAAGAAGAACATAAAAATTGATTTGAAGATAATATTGAACAGCAAAGACAAATAACATTTTGGCAATTTTATTAGAATAGACATGGTTTTAGAATATTTGGGGAAATTTTATATTCTATGTTTTCCTGCAGTGAACAGCAAAATGAAGGTAGTAGTTTTCAGATACCAAAAACCTGCCTGTGGCTCATTATCCAATTAATTGATATGAGGAAATTAGCTGAATCAAGTTAAATGACAGCTGGTTGCTCCACGAAAGCTAGTAGTATTTATAAGAGGCTTTATTATAATAAGAGGCTTTCAGAAAATTAGATCAGTGCAAAGGTCTTTACTTTTGAATCTTAGAAACACATTAAAAGGCATTTCTATCTTCACTTTCAGAAAAATAAGCATTTAAGAAAGGGATGACAAGGTATTCATATTCAGAAACTCACTGAGAAGATTACAGGTGTTACAGTAACAGTGGAGATTTTTGTTGCAAAAGCACGACAGAATTTTTTCATCCAGATCCTCTTCCATGAAATGGATAAGATCTCTCATACCCATTATCTCAGATGTCTCTCTCCTGTCTTCCTCAAGGAAAGAGAAGATACCTTGGTAGCTCTGTTCTTCCATCCCCTCTTACTGCTGCACCTGCTGCACCCATTTGGAAACATCCTGCCATCCCAGGTGCTCTTCTTACACTGAGACAGGAGTGACACTCGGGACAGCTCAACTGATCTTGTTAGTCTCTTATGAAATTACATGGGATCACTGCTTTTTAAGGCCTTGTAAGAATCTTGCTTTGGCTTTTTGCAAATGTAGGATAGTACAGAACTTAAAACACAGCTGAACAGCTAGGGAGAACTGAATCTGGATTCATTACACTGGGAGCAGAGTTAGAGATTTAGTGCCAGCTAATGCAGAAAAGCACTATAAACAACCCCCCTTCTCTTTGGATCTAAGCATCAATGCTGACTAAACTGCAGGGTTAAAATCTGCTCTTAGGAAAAATAATCACATATAAGCTCCAACTAAACACCTAAGTGCGAACTCTGCTGCAATGGGGACTACACACTCTCAGGCTGCACAGAAGTTTCCATTATGTGAAAAAGAAAAAAAGCACAGCTTTTCTTACCACTGAGATGCTTCTCACACTTTTTCATTTTAGTGGTGGTGTTTTCCACTTTCCTCCCTCCTGTCACCTCAGACAATGGCAGCTCAAGTGGACAATAAAAGCAGAGGGGACACTTCTATTCAACACACTCCTCCCTCATTTTTTGTTTTTGTTGCTGTAGTTTTACCCGCATCAAAATGAGAATTTTGCCCAAGATACTGCCTGCATGAAAAAGTCTGTGTCACTTAGAGATTCTGAGCAACAGGTATTCATTGATGGATTTCAAGTAGATCCTGAAGTGGCAGCCAAGACTTTACAGCTGAGGGAGCTGAGGCTGTTTAGGGAAACATTATCACTCTCTAAAACTGCCTGAAAAGAAACTGCAGCAAGGTGGGGGCCAGTTCTGGAAAAGAAGCAATAGCATGAGAGGAAATGCCTCCATTTGCACCATGTGAGGTTTAGACTGGATATTAGGAAAAAATTCCTCACTGAAAGGGTTGCCAAGCACAGGAACAGGATGCCCAAGAAAGCGGTTGTGTCACCATCCCTGGAGGGATTTAAAAGGTGTGTAGATACAGCATTCAGGGGATTGTTTAGTGGTGGCCTTGGCGGTGTTGGGTTAATGGTCAGACCTTAGACGACTTCTCTATCCTAATGTGATTCTGTGATTCTACCTTCCCAAAATATTGTACCTCAGCAGAAAAAAATCAAGACTGATTTTCACATCCTAACATTCGCTAAGAAAGGGTTTAACCCTGGAGACATTTTCAGAAAATTAGTTCAGAACCTTTGCACAATTTAATCAGAAGACGTTTTAAACTCCGATTGTGCAATTAAACACAATATACTCTTGCAGCTGCCATTTATCACACTGCTACCATTTCAAGTAATCTGGCCAGCAGAACTGTCTGGTACCTAGGAGTGAAGAAACAGGAAGGATAATGTTCTGTAGGAAAGCAGGTCTATCCAACATTTTACAGTGCTAAAAATACCCTCAGGACTTGTTCTGATACCTTGTAATTATGCACACATATCCTGATTTATGGTGCATGTCTCCCAGCTAAAAGTAGTATGCACTCTGTTTCGTATCTTGCCCTATTTATGTGTAAAATACTCTAGTCTGTAATGCCATAAAAGAGAGGATAGGCTCATTGCACATGTTACTATCGATTTCATATGAGCATAGGCATAATCTAATGATCCTTTTCAACTAAGGATAAATATGCACAATTTAGCCTTAAACATATTCAGCGTCAGATCATTTCAACTGCTGCCTTTGAGAAATATGCCCGTGATGTTAAAGATCTCTGCTGTCCAGCCTCCTCCTCAAGACTGTAGAGAGTGTGGCAAAGGAGACAAATATATCCAAACTGGAAAAGGGACAAAAAACATTGTCAGCTGTGTATCAAGACACATATCTGCTTCAAGCCAAAGCTGTGAATTCATGTTCCACAACCTTGCCCTGCTTCTCTCCACCTCCACATGACCCTGCTCTCTCACTGACCACTTATGTAATTAATGAAGAAAAGAGAATCCATCTTGTCCAGGTAAGTACTAGCAAAGAGAGAGGTGGTTGATAGGAAAATTAAAAAGTATTTTACCTGTAACAGTTACTGGAAATATCCTAACTACTAGGTATATGCAGGTCCATTTCAAAAGAAGAAAGGGCAACCTGGCTTAGACAAAGAGATCTGATTTTCATTCCCCAAGTCTGCTCTGAAATGCTCACACAACCATTGGCACATGGCTGAAATCCTCTCTTCGGAGACAGAGAGCAAAGGAGTCACCCAACATTTATTTGCTAGTGGGTTATTTCATTTTCTTGGGTTTGTGTGGGTTTGGGTTCCTTTTTTTTAATTATCCACCAGTTTCAAAAAAAGGGAACACATGCAGATTTAATGTTTTGATGTGTTTCTGCCCACCTTTTACATGCTAATCTTTAAAAAAGGAAATGTGGTAAGTGCAAAGGAGTGGCCTTAGCTGTTTGTGCAAGGAAGAGCTGGAATTTGCATGTGCTAAGAAGGGATACAAAGACCATAGCAGGGAGAAGGGTCTTCAAATTACTGCAGCTGGGGTCATTAAAGATCTGACTCCTTGTTTTTTCCTAACATATCTTAAATTTGGTTGACTGTTGGGCACATATTTATTCACACAGTTTGCACAAAGGAGAAGGTTTTCAGTGTTAAAATAATTTTTAAAAAGGACTCAGTCAACATAAGGTCCAGTTTATCCATGAAATAAATCCATGTTTTTGCTGACTACTTTTTCAAAAACTATTTAACTTGTAGACTGAATTCGAGCCTTATTTCATTTCACAACACAGCTTCAATTCTTTGTTTGTCAGTTCTGAAAACTCTGTACCTATTTCCTACTTGTATGGATACAATTAAATATGTACTAATGTACCAATAATGAACTTGCATTATTAACAATCACTGCAACATAATTAGCAATTCCCAGAAAAGGATACAACCCAAACCTGAAAGGTTCATAATATTATTTTCATTTATTTATTTTTGTATTTAACTACATCTACTACACATCCTTTATGTTCCTCTCAGTGGTAGTTCCACCAAGTTTTCTTACATTATAACAGAACTATTTTTTTCCTATTCAGATTCAAGTAAGTTTTTCACCTTCATTCTGGAATTGGTGCATGAATTAAGATGTGGATCAAAAGAATATTTTCCCCCACATGTGCAGAAACCACAAAATTTATGGAAAAGGAGCAGCCTAGAGAAAGGTTTAAGGAGTTCTCATGCTTTTTCAGCAGGTTCACATAGATAGCTATGCAGTCAATTTTATGAATACCCTAACCAAATAAACCAAGTGACACTTGTCTTTAATAACTTCTCTAAGGAACAATCTAATCTGCATACATCTCACTTTCCATACTTTAAACTTTTTTTTTTTTAAATCAAAGCAGGTTTGCTTTTCATGACCTCTTTTATGAACCCTTTATGAACAGTTCCACTATCCATGTTTATTAGCTTTTTCCTTCTCTTTTCTCTTTCTTTTTTTTAAAGGATATCTGAATTCCTTCAAAATAAGATGATTTTTCTTGTCCCCCCACTATTTTTTTAGTGTTCCCTATTTCAAAAGGCTTATATATTTAAACAAGTAAGGGCTCTGGTGCACCATCATGCACCAGATGTAGCCTAGAAATAATTTTATCCATCCAAATTCAATTAGGTGCTGAGACAGTAAGGAGCAAAACTAGATTTCTTAAGACAGAACCCAACATTTTAATGACAATTAACACCTCCCTCCCTCTATGTGTGAGCTCTCTGATTATTATTATTAATCTTGATACATGGGAAGCTGAACACTGGACAGGGTGAAGGACTACACAGTGCCTCTGTAGCCAATGTGCGGAACAGAATGAACTGAGTGCAGGAAAACAAGATTGTAACTTTTATATTTTCATTATCTCAGAGAACTAAACCATTAAAATAAAAGTTCTTATCAACACACTGTCAAAAAATTATTAAACCAGGTGCAGAATAACTTCTTTTAAAATAAAATAAAATAATTAGAAGATAGAAGCAAACAGACTATTCATAAAAGCAGACAAGAGAGCTTAGCTTTTTTCGGTTGTCATGCAATTTTCTTACGAGATTCCCATAAGAAGAGGAGAAATGAACCAAGAAATTCTTGAACTATTTATTTACATGGAACGAAGGAGATATCAGAGAAATGACTGCACATATAGATAATTTTAAAACTATCCTTGGTGCATCTGTACACCCAACTACAAATAAGAAAGGTGGAAGCAAACTTAAGCAGAGTGAAGCTATAGTACACACCTTAACAGCCTAAAAATAACCAGTGAGAGCTTCTACAGTAAATTGAATACACAAAATAAGCTACCACCATGTCAAAACCTAATATTTTACAGTGATATTCTATAAGAAAAGTCAAAATAACAAATGCCCCGATTCAGAAAATTAGAGACTGTAGTGGCATTACTGCTTTCTAGCCATCTGGATCCACAGAGATATTTCATATTGCTAAGAACTAGGGCCTAAACTGAAACCAGAAGGACAAAAGAGAGAAAGATGGACATAAGAGAGTCATTTAGCCTCAACAGCCCAAAACTGTCAGGAATCTACCATTTTTAGCTTGTAAGATAGAGCATGTATTTAGCATCTGAAAAGTCTCGATTTTGTAATAAGCACCAGGCTCAATCTTAATGTGCAGAGCATACAGCCTCTTTTTAAGGCATTCAAGAACATCATACTTGATCATATAAGAAGAGCCATTTAGACTTCACATATTGAGCAATGGCTCATCTACAAAATATCAGTGTATAGAAAAAGCAAAAGAACACATTACAAAAGGATATCCAGTCCTCCTGATAAGACTTTAAAGCAATATATAATATATCCTGGATTAATATCATATTAATAGCTGTGGCAAACTCATACCCTTCCCATTTCAATAGTCTGAGCCAAATAGGGAATGCATCTGACTATCTTTTCAGTAATTCTACTTTTGAAGTGTTACATTGAACCAGGTCAAGCAGAACCCAAGATACTTCATTTCAAGGCTATTTCAACGGTTAGAGCTGCAATTTAAATAGAAAGCGAGTGGTACTGTTCTCTGTACTTTAAACTATTTTAATAGTTTAAATAAATGAAAGTTATTGAAACTAGTTTTCAGAAACGAACTTGAATCATGCACAAATGTGCTATTTCAATACAGAATAAGATCAAGAATGCAGAAATGAATTACATTAAAAAGCAAAAATATGCTAAATCAGACAAAGAATTGAAACTCCAATACATCACAGGTGATTCTCCACTAGCACATGTTTCCACCCAGAATACACCTATTGCACACAGAAAGCAGAAAATGAAAAGAAATGCTAATCCATGCAACAATGCTGCTTCACAGAAGCAGTGAAGGGCTTCAGTTGGGTCCTTAAAAGCAGGCATTTGGGCAAAATGAGATACAGCAAAGGGAGTAGGCAAGTGACTCAAAGATAGGTTCCCACCTTCTTCCCTACCCTGCTGTCCACACTCCAGGAAACAGATGCCTTTAGCATCACCAAAGTACATGTAGGAAAATATATTTGAGAAACTAAGGCACTAGAGGTTACATGGTGGTGCTTCAAAGCATGCTGTTTCTGAGATCATTCTCTCACTCTCTTTTCTATTTCTTTTTATAGACACAGACCCATGAAGGAAAGACCTTGCTGACTGAAGCAGTTTCTCTACTGCAATGTGCTATTGGCATAGAGCTGGTAAAACTATATTAAATTAGAATAGAAAGCTTAGAAGTTGCCTTCACTTAAATACAAAAGCATACACATACTCCACTCAGAGTGGAAGCGCAAACAAACAGAAAATAAAAGTGCCCATAAAAGCAATAATCTTCCTTAGCTGCAATAAGAGTCATGTTCACACAGTCATTACCTAGTGCTCCCAGGCCAGACCAGCTCATCAGTGCATGGGAGGAACAGAAAGAGCTGGTAAGCCAAGCACCCTTGTGCCAGCAGTGCTCAGAGGAGCCTGAGGAGCTGCAGAGCCCCCAGGCAGAGCCCCCCAGGCTCTGGCACCACACAGCAGAGCCACATGTCCAGAGCCACTCCAGCACACCCCTGGAGAGCACGTGCCTACAGCAAACCTTGGGAACAGATCCACCACGGATTTCAGTCTTAGGCACCCATATTTTATATTTCAAAAGAGAGCTTTAATCCTCACCACCTACATCAACTAACCCTGGGAACGCTAAGGGTTTTATCACAAATGCTTAGGAGGTCCCAGAATTTCCTCATCCAGCAGGCATGCCCAGAAACATCGCAATTCCAGCAGGTTGGGAAATTCACATCTCTGAGGCCTCACCTTCATTAGGAACTGCAAAGAGCTACTTCCACTAACATTTTGCCTGAGGATATCAGTCCCACAGGCAGGCAGTACTTTTACCTAGAGAGGTTCTAGCAAAGACCTTCCTAAAAATCAATTGTCATCATCACTGTGACTAATCCTGCACTCTTCCCAACAGCCCTTCTCAGCCAGTATGTACAGAAATCAGTTATCTATTCCGGGAAAGTGCACTGAACATAAAAGGTGGGGCAAGAACCCATGACCATATGTTGCAATTACTCATGCCCTGGCTGTATAGTCCCCTTACAAACCCACACCTAGCTTCACTTGCAGCTCATTCTGTGTCTGGAGTGAAGGAAGAGGAACAATTATACTATCTCAAATCATCATTATTGTTTCAATGATTGCATTAGCATTCTCAAAGCATAAACCGCCCACAAAACATTTGAGGCAGACATCTAATGATGGATTTTCCCAACAGAGAAAGCAATTCCTCTAAGCAATAAAACAGTCTGTGAGGAATCCTGCAGTCATAAATCTAGTATTTCTCATTACAGAATTTACATCAGCCACGAAGTGATTACTTCTGAAATTACAAACCCTTGTGGGCAGAAATATTAGTGGGTTACCAATTGCCATTCTCATGAGTCATGAGAAAAGTAGTCCAAGTCATAATAGTCTTGTAAAAAGCAAAATATTGAAAGAATTAATTGTCTTATTAAAGACAGAAAGTTTAGGGCATCCACATAACAAGTATCTAGGCATCAAAATACAAAGGTCAGCAGTAAGCTCCCATCAAAACTTTCAAAGGTTACCAAGGAATATCCAAGCAATACAGGTTTGTCAACACTTTTCAACATATCTCCACAAAAGCAGTATTTAGACCCTTCAAACCTCCCCAGCATTCCCCACATGGGAGCATGTAATGTGCAGAAAGGAAAGAGAGGGGAGAGAGAGAAGAGGGGAAGCATGCAAGGCTGTCCACTCTTGCAGAACACAGGCAGGGATCTCAGCTCCCCGGGGCAGGGCAGCACTGAAGCCCTGGCTCCCAGCTGTGCCCGGCGCTGGGGGCACACGGGATGGGCAGCACGGGGCAGGTCCCGAGCCACAGCAGTGGAGGGGGCAAGGGAGTAAGGGGGACCAAGCATGAACAATTTTGCCCAGCTCGCTTGATGCTGAAACACATATATCCCAGGACTTGTCAGGGAGCTGATATATCCCTCTGTTTGAGGATAACTATCCCACAAAAATACTTTTTTCTTCTGGCAGTGCTCCCTTCCCTGGGTGCTGTGACCTAGCAGCAACCCAAAGGGCTTCAAGGACCACTGGGATTAAACCAAACACGTTTTATTAGAAAAAGCATGCCCTCCAACACCGAGCTTGGCATGAGATAAATGTTATCTATTCCTTGAGGAAAACTAAGATACTGCACAAGCACCTTAAACACAGGACTGATCATTCTCTTGAGTGAATAGAATAAAATAAAATCTGTTTAACTCATCTGAACTCATACTTCACATACATTAATAACTTTTCTAGTTTAACTGCAGAGAAAGCAGAAGAGAGATGTTTTCATGAAGATATACTAAATTTTAAAATACATTTTCACACAGCTAGTTAGACATAGAATATTGGTTTTGGCTGCTCACAGAAATGGAGGGAAAGGGGAAACAAAACAAAAGAGGAAACAGGGGGAAAGGGAAGCATAGCTAAAAGCAAAGAACTGTAAAAGTGCATTCTCTCCACTTAACAAGGCAACTGCTCCAGTGACAGGCAGAGGACTGACCTTGACCAAGTCCCATGGCAGACAAAACTTGGCTGTAGAGCACTGGCTCCATCCCCTGCTGTTAAGCTCAGCTATTTAGTGGTAAGAGGCAAGCCAGGAAGGAGCAGAGAGGCCAGGTCCCCTCCTGGGCAGCAGCAGTGAAGAGTGATGTCAGTTCAGAGGCCAGGTGGGATGCTCAGCTGAAGACAAGGCAGGTCCCAGCCACAGCACAAGCTCCTTTCAACCAACCTGGGCAATTCAGAGGATGTTGTTCAGCATGCTGAATAATGAGGATTTGGAGCTGGCTCTTCTTCCTGGAGACTCTGGGGGCTTGACTGAACCCAGCTGAACACACAGAGGAGTGGCCTCAGCTCCCCACAGTCCTGTGAATAGGTACAGTATTTTATTTTTACTGCAAGCCTCATCACTGGCTATGGTGCTACTTGCCTTATACAGCACAGTGTAAAAATTATTACAAGCAAGGTAACAGTAGCAAAAAAGCCTAAATACATGCTAGCAAAAGTAATTAGGCTTTATTACAAAAAAAATAAATGAAAAGAATTAATCATACAATTTATTATCTCACCTTTGCCATATCCCATGCACTTCATTTTAACTATTCCTGGAGTAATCTGATCACATACTCCATGTTTATGAAAAAATTATTTATAAACTATTTTTATTCCTTATCATGAAATGAAAAAATATTCAACATGCTCATGCTTTCTGCCCTAATAATATATTTGAAATTTATAGAGTTGTAAGATAATATCTCACTCTGGCATTAGCTTTCTGATCTTTGATCTATTGGTGCCATTTTAGTAGATGATAATTGCTTACCAGTTCAAAATACTGGCTTAGTAAAAAACATGCTTCAGTGTTCCTATAATGCATTTTACCACTAAAGGGTAAATATATATTTCCTGTCTATTTTCTATTTCACTAGATATTCATATAGGGAATTGTTCTTGTAGCTGGTTCTACATCCACCACTACACGTGTCACTTGTTCACAATTCATTACAAAAATGCCTTTTTTGGAAAGAAAAATCAAAACACTGTTACCTAGAGATGGATAAAAATTAATAGGCATATTATGCATAATTCAACTTCAGTTCTCATATTCAAAACCATCATCAGTCAGATTTACTACAATCTGGGGCTGAGCTCTACTGACCAGCAGAGAGGGGCAAGTATTCTCCTTCCTGCTGGGAAAGATGCTCCACTCCTTATGTGATCAGCAGCTCGCAAAACACAATCCAGATAACTCCAGATCATATTTTTCCTTTTATTTCCTTACTACTCTTAGGTAATTATTAAACACATTTCAGTACAACCCCAAACCAGAAAATTTCTATTTTTTACAGGGCAAATGTATTTTCAGGGGCAGCCAAGCTACTTTCCCTGTACTGTTAAAATCCAACAGGACAGGACATCACCCATGATCAAGATCAGTCATCTCCACATGAAATTGCTTTCTGCCTCTTTTAAAAAGATGCTTAAAGATGAAAAATTATTTTTGATATTAAAGTTAAAACACTTCATCTTGAAACTGTCAAAATGAAAACTTCCAATTTCCTGGATTGTTTATTAAAATCTCAAAATAGTTTTCCTATTTCTCAAAGCCTGATCTGTCAGGGAAAGAACTGAGAAGCAAAACTGTTCACTAGATTAAAATATAGTACTCATACATTCCTACTCCTTCCGCAGTCTGATTAAAAATAAATATATATATTCCCTTGGATTTTTGGGAACACACTAGCAAACATGTAGTGAAGACACTATTTCACTCCAAATCTTTCAGAATCCCTTTTGAGTATTTTCAGTACCAATTTTAATGAAGAATTGAGATTGATAATAAACTATTAAAACTAATTAGAGCAATTAGGCAGGATAGGGGAATTCAAAAAAGCGTATTTTTCCAGAGAACAAATATCCACTTTCACAAAATGAATTCCCCAACAAGAGGCTGAGCTAACATGAACAGCATCTGGCCCACTGCACAACTGGTCACTCTTCAGATTGCAGTCATGAGACCAAGTTGTGAAATTAATCTCTTACACCAAATTGAACAATGTACTTCAGCTGAAAGACTTCTTGCCATATTGCCAGAGCATGAATCCTGTGCCTACAGCATCTTCCAGTGTGGAAACTCACCCTGCAAGTGTCTTCCTGCAGGGTCCTCTGTTCATACTTCAGGGCATAGTTTACACTTGGCAATTTAAACATGCTCCTCCAAATTCTGCTGGTGTTGCAAATCTGATTTATAAGCCACCTTATTAGGAGGTACAGGAAAGGTGAACAAAGAGGTGCTGCTGCTTTGGTTTCAAGGATGAAGCACAATTTACAGGTTGCTTTCACATGGGCTTTTTCAGGGATCTCTCCTGAAGCTTGTGAAACAGGAATTTCCTAAACAGTCTAGGAATAGATTGGAGATGTGAATGTGCTTACTGGAAATATTTCTTTTCTTAAGACCCCCAAAAACTTAGAAACAATGAAACACTGCAACAGGAATTTACAGACTAAGCAACTGGGTGCTAGATATAAAACCAGATTAAATTTTTTAAAAAATGAAGTGATTCACATGGAACAGGAGATGTAGGAAGAGGGAAAGGATTATATATAGATAGATAGATAGATAGATAGATAGATAGATAGATAGATAGATAGATAGATATGGTCTGGGCTGATTGTCATAAATCAGAATAAAAGCTTTAGGGTTATACTGAATAACTGATTTGTCAAATACTGAATTGTCAAAATTTAGGACTATTCCAAAATTCCTGTAAGCAGTCAAAAACACATATTAGAAATTATTAGGAAAGGAACAGAGAACAGAAGTTATCTTAGTATATCTGCATAAAAATATAATATCTGCTGCTTGAATTCTTTTGTGTATTTCCACCTTGCCACATACTTCAGCTAGAAGCTGTAAGAGGAAAGATAAAAGGTGGGAAACAAATTCTGTCTGCACTATGATGAGACAGACCACAATGCCTCAGCCAGGGCAGAGACAACAGAGGTGATGATAGACATGTATTCAATGGCAGGTGACAGAGACAGTGGGAGGGAGATCACTGCTCACCATCTCTTCCAGCACAAGGGTCAAAAAGAGAAACTGGTAATATCAAGAGATGCCATTTCATCCACTGAATAAGTAAACTGAGGGAACTGTCCACTAGGAGAATCTGGTGATAAAGATTCATCTGATTCGGGGAAGTCTGGAGAAAATGTATCAAAAGCTGTTACATGTGAAGATGTCCTTCTGGCTGAGGAAGTCCTGAGCAAGATGTAAGACCCTCCCACAGTCTTTGCTGGGGGGGTCTTGTAACACGTACCAGGGAGGTAATCCTACACTCCTGAAACATTCCTTGCAGTTTCTTAGGTATCATCTATTCAAGACAGAGACAGACAAGGCCAGACACACCAGGGGGTTTTTCAGAGTGAACATTTTTGTAATTTATTTTTAGAGTGAACATTTTTGTAATTAGTTTTGCTAATTACAAAAATGTTCACCTTTCCTCTTACTTCCCAAGAGTAAATAAAACCTTTCATTATAAAACTCACTGCTGTGGGGCTGATGCTCAGCCTTTGGGAAGTTCAACCTGCTTTGGAAAGGGAAGGCAAAGGACATCAGCAAACAGAAAATACTGGTAATCAGGAATGGAAATAGGCTGGTGAAGCCCTGGTATCCTCACCACTCACAAGCTCCAGAAAAGGAGCCTCAGATGGGCACAGCACAGTGCTTCACTGCCCCTCTTGGCACGGCTGCCCAGGAGCAGACTGGGTAGGAGTTGTTCTTCACTGGTGCTCTTTGAGGGAAGTTATATCATGTTAGTTTAGACAGTAACATTCACCAACAGAAACGTGTAAGTAGCCCAGTTGTTTTTGCTGAAAGGAAGAGGTGAGATATGAAATGGGCTACCAACAGTGTATGAAATACATATGGAAATATTTGGAAGCATATTATTTTGGTTTTACCTCAGATAATGTTTTCATACACTTTTTGAGTGTCTTGCACACTAAAAAGGAGGTACAGATATAAATTTTACTTGTCTGACAGTGAAAGCTTGAAAGCATTTTGGATCATGAAGGCATTTACACTTTGATTTCTTGAAAAATAATTTAATGGTACTAGCTAGAGAGTGTGACAAAATAGATGTATTAGTTGAAAAAAAATGTTATTCTTCCCAGATAAGACTACTATTACAAAATTTTCCCAGTGAGAAATTTTAAAAATTGGCATGGGGTTGTTGGTTGGATTTTATTGCTAGTGAAATATATGTTGTTGTGTCATGTCATAAACAGAAAACTGAAGCACCCTTTTTAAATCCTCAGCACTGCTGACACTTCCAACAAGTACTTCCGTATTGCTTTTGGTCTTATCTGTTTCTAACAGACAGCCTCATGCTTTGGAAATCTGACCTGAAAGAAAAATTCAGCCCCAAGTATCTGCTGTCAATTGTGCAGAAAATAGGAGATGACAGCGAAGTCACTCCTGCATGCTAAATTAGATCTCTTTCCAACATCTTCTAATGTCATTATTAGCACTCAAATACACTGTGTCAAAATGTGTCTGCATAGGGAGATGGACCAGGCAACATCAAATTTATCTCTTAGTCAATATGACAGGCTGGTTTTGATTCAGACTTCTGAATACGAGAGACTCTTAAGAAAAAATATCTGCTCCATCATGAATGTTTGTTTACAAATATGGGTACTATAATAGATGGAAACAGTTAGGAAAAAAAACTGTATTGTGCAGTTTCATTGGATTTCTGGAATCAATAGCATAATAGGAGTTAAAATCATCAGTGTAAGCCTTAGGGTCTATGCTCCAAATAGTCAATGGTGCAATGCAAGAGTTACAACAAGATCATCTTCAAGAAGACTGTCTGCTTCAGAGATAGCCTTAACAGAAAATGCTCATCCTAAAGCAACCACATAAATGTGAATTTAAGTGTACCAGATGGTTTTAGAACAATATTCAAAGGACTGAAAAGGAAACCACATCTGCAAAGATTAAATTCCAGTAATCTGTTCACGGTTTTATTTCTGACTAAATGTACCCAAATAAAAGTGAATACCCAGACAAAAAAAGGCACTTAACTACTGACAGAAAACAATTCCTGGAAGATCAAAGTCTTTCCCTGTAGCACTGAAAAGAAAAAAGAGTGTACCATCTAAATACCACTGTACCATCTAAGTGCCACTGCTTAATATACAGCATAAACAGACACTACAGCTCCATACCCTTTACCTGTACAGCAAAGTTCAGAAGGTTAATAGAAGAAATTAAATAAACCACAATGAAAAAGATTTGGAGTATCATACACATGGGACTATTAACTAACCTAAAGAGAAGAAAACACTGTTTAATTCCA